ACGGTCCCTGCCTCTTTTGCCACGTCGTCCACATCCGGGAGGTGCACGGTGCCCTTGTAGGGTTTTGGGTTTAGGGTTTAGGAGTCTAGGGCTTAGGGTTTGGGGTTTAGGGTTTAGGAGTTTAAGGCTTAGGGTTTACCGATCAGCTTGGTTTAGGGTTAAGGGCTCAGGGTTTAGGCATGGGGTCCTTATCCTGGGGCCATTTGACCCCCCTAGCTGCTTCAGGGAGCAAACAAACAAAAATGGTGCTAAGTGCCTCAGCCCCTGGGCAGCAGTGGCAATTGCAACACACTGATAATCATGCTGCTATCACCGTCTGAGCCCAACAGTATGTAGATTAATGGCTTATTGGCTCTGTTTAAGGCTTTCAGGTCAATGGTTTACATACTTTGGGTGTCCAGGGGGTAGTACTGCAAAGCGCCGCAACAAGGACCCCTGAAGTTGGGATTAAGCTAGGCCGGGACTTCAGGACTACATTGGAGGGTCTAGGCAATCCTGCATGACCTTGGCATACTAAACTGCCCTAAGTTCCAGCGTGCAGCCTGGTAGGGTCCTGCAGGATAGTATTGCACTCAACCCGTAAGCCCAGAAGCGCGGATCCTAAACCCTGAACCTCAAGTACTAACAGAAAAAGGAGGTACATGACGGGATGACTCTAGGGTAGTCTTGGTATCGATGTAAACCAGCTTGTCAGGAGCTATCACAAGCAACCCTTAACTCTAAGGTTGAAACCATGGGCCCCTGGCGCTGGCATCTATTATATACCCTACGTGTGAACCTTAAGGGTCCTTAGAATCCCCTCAAAAGGCCTAAGGGCCCATGTTGGAGGCCCAACCTTCTAACGTTAGATTAAACCCCAAACCCTAAACCCTTTCACCGGGATGCTAGCTAAACAGGGGGACCAAAACAGGGTATGGCCTGGTTGGGGGGTTAGCCAGTCTTTTGGGGGGTTGGAGTGGTTTGCTTTCATACCTCGCGACAAACTTTCCTGAGTACAGATGCGCTTACACATTCACGCGCTTCAGAGCCTTGCTGGAGGTAACTTCGATCTCCTCATGGTCCACAACTGGCGCCTATGGAAAGCATTATGCTTCATCTGCGGCACAGAACTGTACCAGCACTGGTACCAGACGCCCAGGCCTGGTCGCAGCATAGCTCTAGGAGAGAGCGCCCTTCAGAGCAAAAGACAATTGGCGGCGTGGGCCCCGCCAAGCCACACATATACAAAGCATGATTTGCCTGCGTGCGAGCGAGTAGCAGATGCCTTCCGCAGCTTTGCAGAGCGGTAGTGAGATAATGTAAAATGTTATCGTATATTATCGTATATGGTAGTAAACTACAGTATATTACCATGGTATATGATAGTATATTATGGCATATTATAGCATCTTATAGGGTAATGTAGACCCCTGATTAATGCACCGCTCCCGTTAAATTTGAAGGGGTTATACGTGGGACTCCAATATTTAGGCCTTAGAAGGAGGGGGTTTATGAACCAAGGGTCTACATTATTCTGAAGACCTAAAGCTAAACACCTACTGGACCTACAACATCTGTTTATGTGTCCTGTTATTTTTGGGGTGTGGTATGTTTTTTGGTAAGGATTCTCGCTTTAGGGTTTAGGGTTTAAGGGTTTAGGGCTAAAGGGTTTAGAGTTGAGGGTTTAGGGTGGTGCGTAGATAGGTTGGACCCCAAGTACCAAGATAGGAAGCTATCGGTGTGTCTCCTGCAGGAACCCAACTTATCTACTAGTCTACTATATAATCTTTCAAAACTACACCCAAGCCCTTAACTTCAAAGCCTGAACCCCGATTCCTCCTGAACCCGCATGTCTAAAGCCTTAAACACAAGCCCCTCAGAACCTGAAGCCTAAATCCTAAACTCAATCCACTTGAGCCCCTAAACCAGAAAAAATTGTCCCTCAACCCTAAATGCCCTGCCTCTCAGGGGACCAGTGGTCAAAAAACCGTGGAGTAACCCCCGCCTCGTTTTCCAGCTTCGAGGTGGGAGTCTAGGGGACCTGACGGTCAAGAAGGCCCAATTTCTTTCGGGTTGTGCTTTAGGGTTTAGGGTTTGGGCTTTAGCTTTAGGATGTAGGGCTTCGGGTTGGGGATTTATCTTGCAAGCCAGTAGACTAGCTACAGTTCCCATACGGCTACTGTAGGACCCAAGAATATACTATAGACCCACATGGAGCCCCCGGGTTCGTATGCAGGCTGAAACTTAACACACACACACACACACACAGTCTTTTTTGCGCATTTGCAGCAATTCCCAGGCATGTTTGAGCACATGACGTTTAGGGTGCAAAGATTGAGGGTTTAGGGTCTAGGGCCTAGGATTCAAGATTTAGGAAACTTAGGGCTCAGGATTCAGGGTTTAGGGTTGCAGGATTTAGGGCTCTGGCCTCGCGAATACGTTAACGGAAAGGAAACTATTGCACTACTTAATATGAGGATTCCCCTTCAATTTGAATGTAACGAATTTGATTGAGAGGAACCCCGGAAGGCGGATAGGACAGAGGGAGGTGGCTGGTAACCCATAGAATGTGATAGCAAGCGGCAGCCTGTCTTATGGAGGATTGGGCAACCCGCTTTAGGGTCTAGGATGTAGGCGGTGGGGTCAAAATCTGGATTTATAGCGTAATCAGCACTGTTGCTTTGCGGGTTTTGGGCCTTTACCTAGCCTGCTTTTGGGAAGTCCAGGTATTGCTGATAAGATTCAAGAGTGAACCCCAAGATTTATGACTAAAACCCCCAAACCTTCAACCTTCGCGCTGTAGAGCCTGCAGCTCATTTTCCTGAAGGCCTGAACCCCAAGGCCTAAAATAAAAAGGACCCCTACAAGGGTACAGTGTAGGGTCTAGGTAGCTTACTTGGAGTGGCGTCTTACTTATAACCTATTTTTTACTTGGAGGTGCGTGTTACCTATAACCTACTTAGAACTGCGACTATAAGCCGATTATAACCGTAACGCTACTTAGGGCACTTATAATTGGGTTATGGGAGCAATTGAGACTAGGTTACAAGTAAGACGCCCCTCCAAGTACAGCCCTAATCCCTAAACCCAAGTACAGTTTACTGTAACAATCCTGCCCCAGACATCATACAAACCCCCAAAGAGAAAACGATATCACACGGTGCGTGTGAGCCATAGCCTTAAAACAAAGGTGGTTATATAGGTTGTTTATATATATATATATAAGGGACTTTTGCTATAGGGATAGTAAGGGTGATGCTAGGAGTTTAGACCCTAACCCTAAACCCTAAATCCTAAACCCTATACTATAGGGGAGTGTAGACTAGGACTTTAGACTAATTATGGCTCGTGTAAGTTATACACGCTAAACCCTCTTCAGCGCTACAGGCCAGAACCTGCGCTAGACGATGGAAACCACAAGCCCCATCTGGTTTAGGATTCAGGGTTATGCATCGCCGTTGTTCCTACTTGGAGGGACAGGGCCCGTTAGTCCCGGTACTTAGATACTCAATCTCCCTGACAGTAAGGTCTAAGCCTGCATCCCCTAACCTACGTCTACGTTTTCCCTGTGCAAGCACTTCAAACTCCATCTTCCCTACAAACGATCTTTGATATTGAGGATTACGACCGTGAGCAGAAGCAGGAAATGTCTAGGGGCTCAAACAATTAGCATAGTTTCCTTGGTTATTGGTAAGGTTTATCAGAGTAGGTTTTGCAATTTTCAGAGTACCACTGTAAACACCCGAGCACCCCCATACAGCCCAGTTTCCATTTCATGTTCTATGTCCTTTTCAATTTGATTCTCTCTTGCCCAACCCTAAACCCTAGACCGTGTTGCTGGGCCTGGGCTGTGTGAAGGCCTGCAGCTGCCGCCCGCACCACGGAAGTGCCAAAAGCAGCGCTACAAGGAGTGCCCATGGCCAGCTATGGCGCGAGTAAGCTGCCATCCCAGTGCTGTTTAGGGTTTGGGGAGGGTTTACCCCCTGACCTTGCAAGTAGATCTATTTTACAGGGTTTGTGTTTAGCGCTTTGCTTTGAACCTCCCCTCTGCGAGTGTCTCCAAGAGTCCCAGGCTTGACGGTGAATAACATGAACTCTGAATGCATCCTCCCCCTGTGAAACACCACGCGGGACCTGCATTATTGCATATATCTACTGGAAGGCTCAGGGGTCTCCTTCAGTAGGTTTACTTACTGCTTCTTAGTAGGGAATGAAGGAATACAGTCCCTGTATAATCCCTATAGAATATATTCCCTTCTACCCTACTAATTAAGCGCTTAGGGGACCTAGTAAGGAGGATATAAAAGTCGTAGAGGTCCCCTGATGGGCGATGGCCTGCGTATAACATATGGGGGTTCCCCAGAATGAGGGTTACCTTTTGCGGGGTCCCCAGAATAAAGGATTATACTATTTCGGGCTCTATATTGGGGTCCCCTTACTTTGGGAAACTGCCATATGGGTTCCCCTACGCAAGCTCCTTGAAGGCAAAAGGCCTGCAAGAATCTTCGTACGCAAGCACTAGCTGAACGCAGCAAATTGAAGACGGACTTGCCTACGGGTATATTACGAAACACTCGTGTTCTCTGGTGGTTAGTGAGGAATAAGGGAATATGATCCCTTTATAATCTCTATGTAATGTGTTCCGTTATTCCCGCCTAACCCCCAGTCAGTTATTGACCGAAAACCCTAAACCTTAAACCCTAAACCCTAAACCCTAAAAACCTAAACCGGGCGCACGTTGGCTACCAGCTGATACCATCACACTCGCATGGCTTTGTAAGACGGAGGCCTATGGCTCCTCAACCGCTGCAGCTTACTGGTCGTGTACCCTAACCCTGAGGGTGCAAGGACCCAAATAATAAGGTTTTAGAGCCCAAATACTGTAATATGAATGGTATTTGGGCCCTAAAACCCTCTTGTTTGGGTCCTCGGACCAGGGCCCCAGAGGTAGGGAGAGAAGGAATGGACAGGACATGGACACATATACTATTTGGAGTCTCGGGTTTGGGGTAACGCCCGAGATAACCCTCCTCTCCGGAAGCTAAATTGTGGCTCATGTACCTCTGTGAAATCACAGGCCAGAACCGGACCATTTGGGTTTCAGGGTTTCAGAGGTGCGGGCTATGCTTGAGGTCAGCCAGCAGTTCAAGGATATGGAACCTGCCCCCCCCGAAGCTCCCAGGTATATGGAAGAGTTTAACCCAAAGGGTCTATGTTGGTACATAGTATATACATCGGGCCCAAAGTGGTCCCCATATACCTACTTCAGGGCCCAAGGATTTACTATGTAGCTACATGGACCCTTTGGGTAGGGTTTAGAGGAAGGCCTATGGGAGACTCCGGTGGATACTAAAATCCTGCATGACCCTAAAATACCCTAAACCTTGGGAATACTATAGTATACTAAGGTCATGCAGGATTCTTAGCATCAAACCCTAAACCCTACACCCTAAACCGCCTGCAGCGGGCTTCCATGTCAGGGTTGTACGCCTGAGGGTTGTAGCCTTTGATAAAAAGGGAACCCGACATTGGCTCATAGGGTTTTAGGGGTTTAGGATTTAGGGTTTAGTGTTTCCGGTCTAAGGTTTAGGGGTTCAGAGTTTGGGCTGCATTGAAGTAAAGCCACATCGGAACCCTGGAACCTAAACCCTCAGCTTTACAGACTGTAAACCCTAACCGCTAAACCCCATGCCTTGAGCCCTAAACTTTTCACCTTGAACTCTGAACCTTAAAGTCTTAACCTTGAACCGTAAACCTCCCTAAACCCTAAACCCTAAACCCTAAACAACAAAAAAACCCTAAACCGAACCTTAAACCTCAACTTATAAGCCAACCAGAGGCAGACAAGGTCACGCTCGGCCGCGGACCATCAGCTGTGCTCCAGTCCACCCGCACAGCGACCTTTCACTTTTCTGGAATAACTTGTAAGGGGTTTAGGGTTCAGGATTTAGGGTTTTTGGGGTTTTAGCATTTAGGGCTTAGGATTTAGGACTTAGAGTTTAGGATTGAGGGTGTAGGATTCACGGTTTATGGTTGGGGATGTATGTAAGAACCTGAAATCAACCCATGGATCCAAGGCTTTGAGGAACAACCTATTGAAATGGTTTAGGGTTTAGGGTTTAGGGTTGGAATGTAGGGGCCTAAACCCTGTTGCTGGACCCAGTAAAGCTCCCCTGAAGAGGATTCAGGCGACGCGAACCGGGACTTCCGCGAGGTAATCGCCCTCCTTCCACCACACTCCTCGAGAATCCTAAGGATTTGTCCTTAAACCCCAAAAGGGACCAAACGTTTGAAGAAACCCTAAACCTTACACCTAAACCCTGAACCTTAAACCCTGATCCCTCACCCCTGAACCCTATAGGCCCTAAACCCCTAAACACTAATCCCTAAACCCTAATCACCTAATCCCTAAACCCTCAACCCCCTAAACACTAATCCCTAAACCCTAATCACCTAATCCCTAAACCCTAAACCCTCAACCCTGTGCCTCTGCCAGACTCCTGGGTGCTGTGCGGCCCGCCGAGATGATGAGGCCAAGGACCTACTTGGACAGCCAGGGGGGGCTAGGAAGGGTTTAGAGTTTAGGGTTTACGGGGTATATGGTGATTTCCCTAAGTTCAGGTACCCCAATATAGACCCGAATATATTATAGTCCCTATTATGGGGACCCCCAAAATGGTACCCCTAGTTTTGGGAACCCCCCATATAGAGGTTCTGTAGGGCTTGGGGTGTAGGGTTAGGATTAATAAGTTTCAACGTTTTGGGAACTAAGATGAGCTGGTGTACTTTTAATTCTAAAAAGGGTTACATAGGGTTTTGAAGGGGTTATATAGGGTGTGGGGCTTGGGACTTACGGTTCAGGTTTGGGGTTTAGGGTTCAGGATGTAGGGGTTAGGGTTTAGGGCTTAGGGTGAAAACATATTTGGCCATTAACTGGGATCTGCAGTTAGCACCTTTTCCATTTTTTGGAGGTCCTACACGTTAATTTAGGGTTTATGGTTTAGGGCTTAAGGTTTTAGGGTGGGTATGGTACGGTCATGC